ATTAACGGTAAACTGGGTCTCCCCCGTCATTTTCGGATGTTCTAATTCCACTTCGAGTTATTTAAGTCTTACTTTTCCTTTTACTGTTTAAAGTTACGGCATCTATTTATATCTTCATATTTAGGCCTTTCTTTTTGGTTATGTTAAAAATYTGTGTTTGGACTCACTAGGCGTAAGCCTAACACTCTCCCTTGAAATGACGTGCTTGTCAGGTTCTTTTATCGGCGGGACCAAAATGGGTTGAGGGGAGCGTGGTCTCGAAAAGGGGCTTTTTGTGTAGCTAAAGCTTTTGGTGTTTTTGGAGCGTTGCAATATTGATCTTTGCGGTTTTTGTTAGAGAYGATAGAAACACCCGACTTTAATTTAGGCATAGCTTTGTGTAAATTAATAGGTTGTTATTTAGCGCATCTCTATTTTCTTTGTAAACGCTGTATTTTTTTTACCTTGTTGGAAAATTCCTATTACTCCAGTTCCACTTTGTATTTTGGGGTCCATTTTATCTCATTTTTAATTTATTTTATTTTATTTTATTTGTATTTTTTTAGGTGTTATAAAATAGGTGGCAAACGGGTTCATATGTGAACCAGTGTAATTCACATATGAACTAATTAACTGATTACATATAAATTAATTAAGTGATTCACATATAAACTCGTGTGATTCACATATGAACTAATTAATAAGTTTAAATATGAACATATAGTTCATATGTGAATCACACCGGTTCACACAAGAACCCGCTTGCAAACTATTTGTAAAAGTTATGAAACTACCTCATTTATCTTATACATACCAATGTGAGAAATTATCTGGTGCTTTACAGTCAAAGCTGCAAATGTTAATCAGATGAAGGGCTATTATCACTTATGTACTTCTCAAATACTTGACACTTCTCGAATGAACCTTTCCCTATGTGTGTGTATATATATAGAGACGAATGATCGTGTAAGATGAAGAGTTAAGGTGAAAATCGTAAAAAAAAATTTGAACCTTGATCACTTTTAGGGGCTTTTTGGTTCGCGGAATTTGATGGAATTGGAATGATAAATTCCTTTGACCAAATTCCAATTCCTTTGTTTGGTTCATTTCTTGAAATGGATGGAATCCTTCAAATTCCAATGAATTCCACAAGTTAAGGAATTCATCATTCCTTAGCATAATGGAAGGAATTGAATTCCATCAACACCCACAACGACCATGCTATTACTGTTTGTGATGCCCCACCCTTAACCCCCCACTACCACCACCACACCACTATTGTCACCGCCACCCACCCTACCCCACCACTAACCACCATGCCATTACTGTTGTCATCACACCCACCCACCCCCGGGGCCTGGTCACTCATTGCACATCTCTGCTACGACCATGCTACTACCGTTACTATCACGCCCCTAACCTAACCCCCATCACCACACCATTATTGTCGCTATCACAGCTGCCATTCACCCCACCCCACCACTAACCACCATGCCACTATTGTCGTCGTTATACCCATCCACTCCCAGCCACCCGACCACCATCCCACCACTGTCATCGTCATTACTGCCACCCATCCCCACTAACCCACCCTCACCCTACTCCAACCCACCACTAACCACCATCCTACCACTATAGTCTTCACTTGCCACCCACTGGCCCATCCCCAATGCCTCACCTCACCCCGCTTACCCCCAACAACCTCACCTATTGTGGGGCAGGGGCAGGAGTGGTGGGGGCGGGGTTGGGCAGGGGTTGGGGCAGGGTGATAGCTGTGATGACGACATTAGTGACATGGTGATTGGTAGGGCGGTGGGTGAGGCGATATGTGGGATGGTCCAAACAAAGACGATTGTTCCAATTCTATTGAGAGATTTCATTCCAATTCCTACCAACCAAATGCATGGTCAAATTCCATCAAATTCCATTCCAATTCCTTCAAAGTCAAATTCCTTTGATGGATTCCAATTCCATCAAATCGTAAAAAGAAATTTGAACCTTGATCACTTTTAATCTCTTGTCCACTCATAAATTGTGTTTCTTCCAAGAATTATTCGGTGCATCTCATCTTAACCACACACACACACACACACAAACACATACACACACACACACATATATATATATAGGGGCCTATTCAAGGAAGAACTGATTAGTTTTGTGGTAACCGTGAGATCCAATCTCAACCACAAATCAAAATATAAATTACAAAATTTTTAATTTTGGTAATTTTGAATTAAAATTTTAATGCAAAAACATTTTAGGTATTTTCCCTCCTCTCTCCTCTCTCCTCTCTCCTCTCTTCTCTCCCGTCCCCCGTCCTCCGGCCACCGTCCTCCGGTGATACCACTGTGATACCTAAAAATATTGACTCTGTTAAACAAAAGACACAGTGTGATACCCAAACACATATAAGATGCATTTGATACCATTGTGTTACATCTCTGATCAACCATACAAACGACCTCAGTGTGATACCCAAACACATATATGATGCATTGTGATACCACTGTGGTATCACCGGAGGACGGTGACCGGAGAATGGATGATGGAGAGAGAAGATAGGAGAGTTTTAAAATACCTAAAATGTCCTTGCATTAAAATTTTAATTCAAAATTACCAAAATTATAAATTTCCTAATTTATCTATTGATTTGTGGTTGAGATTGGACTTCACCGTTACCACAAACTAATTAGTTATCATTTGATTACCCCCCCCACACACACATATATATATATATATACTTTTGTTATGAGTAACAGGTAATTGATAAAGAAAAACCGTTTATCTATACCCTACTCACTAAATTTAAGGTAAACAGGTAGTAAATAAGTGGATAAAAGTTTATTTACCCATACTCTTATTCAACAATTCGAAACATAACGAGTAACAAGTTTAGCCTCACTTATTATAAGCCCTAAGAGGAGGACATGTGGGACATAAAGGCTATCTGAATTTTCATGAACATAATATCTGATAGAAGTTATTGGAGACGTAGGATTAAAGCACTATGGCATGAATCTATACTTAACATAGACGGAGAGGTAAAGGAGGTAGGGCCAATGAGTCTACAATTAGCTTACTATGTTAGACTAAGGGGCTGTTTACCAAATTTTCTATTAAGTCCTGTATGGATAAATTCGTCTGTTTGAATAAATTTGTCTGTCTAGACAAACATGTATTGTTGTTTCTTTTTTCTTCTGAATCAATGATCTGAATGGCAAAACTGACCATTTTACCCTCAATGCACTGGACATTCTTTAACAGCACCTTCCATCCCTAATTAATATCTAATTCCCAAATCTTAAGGATCTACGAACAGGTGGAATCTAAACAAGGAAATCATGGGGTGTCCTGTGTCCATTCAACCTAATCTCATACATTTACGATGAAATTTATGAGCTCAAAAACCCTAAAACCCCACCAAAATCGAAGGTGTGAAACACAAGTTTAAGCTTCTACCAGCTCTTGAAACATATTCTAAAATGTTCAGAAACAGAAGACTACCGGTGACAGAAGAATGCAACAATCTAAAGAACCCAAATCCAACAACCATCCATGAACGAAGATCTTTGGATTTTTAGAAATTTTTGAGGTGAAAAGGAGAAGAGTTGCAACTTTCAGAGCCGAATACTTGCTCCTGAACTGGGTGAAGGAGATGATGGTTGCAGAGCTCTGGAGAAGGGAGCCTTGGTACGATGCAGAGCTGATTTTGAATTTTTGGGTTTGTTTTATTAGGGTTTTGAAAGGAGAAATCGACCTGTTGTTGAAAATCGAAGAAGAAACCGAAGAAGACTCGATAGAAGGAGAAATTGCCGGTAACCAGAAAGGAAGAACCAAAAAGGAAGAAGAAGATCGACGGGAAGGAGGAGTGTCTTGAAGGAGGCTGAAAGGAGGCGTTGTCTTGAAGAGGATGGTTAATGAAAACTTAGGGGTAGGTGTGTCTTTTTTTGGGCTGAACGTGGACAACAACCCATATCCATCTATGTGAATAAGTCATGAACTGTGCGAATAAGCTCCAAGTAAACGAGAGATTTTGACTGTGCGAATAAGCCGAAAGTTCAATTAAGTCCATTAAGTCATAAGTAAACAGCCCCTAAGGTGTACGGTTTTACCTGCTTAAGCTTTCATTATACCTGTTTGTTCATCACTTATTTTTTCAATCTATATCTTTTCACGCACTTTTCCTTTTTTAATGAACAAGAACTTTCAAGAAAACAAACGCTTATTATTTAAGATCTCTATGTAGATCTCATCCTCCAAGACCCATACTTTTGTGGTGTGAGTAGAGGTGTAAATGATTTTAGTTTTTAGCGAGCTACTCGAACTCGTTTATCTCAAGCTTGAGTTTAATAGTTCTTAAACTCAAGCAGATCTTGAATACAAAATAAAGTTCGCTTAATTTAACGAGTTGAATTCCATAAACACCAATGTTCGACTCGACTCGACTCGTTTGGAAGCTCGATTAAACCTTACGAGTCCGAGTCATTCGAGCATGCATTTTTTTTAATCAAATATATTTATACGTTTATACATTATACAATCAAAATAAATAAATTATCGAGTTTGAACAAATAAATAGGTTAAGGTGCCGTTTACTAAACGCTTACCCAAGTAAATGCTTACCAAGTCACTTTACTTTACCAGATGAATATGCCAAGGACTAAAAATCTTACCCGATAAGAGCGAAGACAAGAATTGAGAGTCTTGCCCGGTAAATGAGGACGAAGACTCTTACCATGATTAACGCTTATCGGGAAAAAAATATTACATACGATGCGTTTTAGGGAATAAAATCTTACCGGTCTGTCTGGTATTAGTTTTTCAAGGGTGTTGATAGCTTGTTCTACTTTTACACCTATGTCATGTGTGACTTTACTTTGGTTTGGTTACGATGGAATTGGTGATAATACTTCTATTTTAATGAAGTCATCATAGAAAACAAGGGGGTTTATTAGGGTTTTTACCCTTGGTGGAATCATCTTTGAAACTAGAACCCCTTTGTATCTCGATGCAGGGCTTCTTTAAGGGATATGTTAAAAATGGCAAAAACTGCTTCTTCCAATGATGATCGATCTGTTGGACCTGGAGATGGAGACCGTGCTGCTAATCTTTCTCGCACATTCAAGTATTTATTGGGTTAGTTTCCTTGATCATCTTCTACTGTTTACAATCAATTCCTTTTTTTTCAATCTTAAAAACTTTGTTTTCTCGCATATAGCCACACAGTTTTTGTCTCGGGGAATTCCGTTCATCTTCAATTCATGGATTGTCAGGCATTTAACTGAGGAAGATTATGCGGTAAGAACTGCTACTATCACTTGGATTCATCCTCACAGTGGATCTGATCTACATCTCTCGTTGAATCGGTTTCGTGCATCGATATTCTGGCATAATTCGTCTTTGAGACCTAATCCTGAATACGCGTTGTATGCCAAAACCTTTATTTTCTACCACTTGACTATCAGAAGTTTAAATGTGCGTACGTTCCCGTCGAATTTGATATTTGCTTGGTGTATAAAAATCTGTATTTAGCTAGTCACTCCAAAGTGCATTTGGGTTTACATATGTTCATGTAAATATTTTTTTTATTAACGGGATATCCAACCCGCTATAGCCGACTAATTCCAGGACGACCATCTGCTTTGCAGATAGCCTGGAGTCACCGCATTTGAACTTCCGTGGCCACAAGGCACATTTTTATTCCTCCTTGGATTTGAACCTAAGACCTCCCGGTACTTTTGACCTTTGGAGCCAAGCTCAAACTAAGCAGACACCACCCTTGTGGTTAAGTTCATGTAAATCTTTTAGGTGGCTTTCTAAGGGTTTTCGCCCCATACTATTCCATGATGCGAGGAATAATTGGCCTGTTGTTGTCAACTTGAGTTATATGTCACATTATGAATGATGTGCATTCATTTTAAGTTTTAATGTCAGAGTCCAGTTTTCTTGATTTCCTTTGTAATGATGAGGCTTGGACTTACTTTATTCAAATGAATGAATTTTAGTTGTTTTCCCATGTATTAATACTGGGCAAATCGGATATTTAGTGCCAGACTGATTTCTCAATCTGTTACCTTGTCATTTTTGGGGGTTTCTGGTTCCAAATGTTTTCTCACATTTTCTCTTTGAACAATGCAGCTGTATGCTGTGCAGTTTCATCTATTCGTCACCTGTGTCTTGTTCCTTAGTCGCGAGGGTTTCCGGAGAGCATGCATGAGGGCAGACATTAGATGGTATCTCACAGGCCTATATTGCTGAATTACAAGTAAACACATAAAATGCAGTTCTCCATTTTGCATGTACATCATTGTACATGATGATTGTATTCTATGTTATTGTTATAGCCAAAATGAACCATAGAAGAGTTTAGCACGTATCTTACCTGCTTCTCCTTTTTGGCTCTGATTAGATATCCTTGTCATCTTACAAAATTTTGCTTAGATATTGCATTTACCAGTGTGCCAGCAGTTTTTTCTATCTGGGTATGTGTGTTCTTATGGATTTTTTTTTCTTTTGCTCATTAATTGGCCAAAAGTGACGTTGTAAAAGTCATACCTAAAACTTCTGTAACATCGGTTTGTTTTGTTGCTTGTCAATATGTTGATCATAAAAACCATCTTTTTGCAGCGAAGGTCCTTTGACTGTTGAAAATGTATCAAAGCTTTTGAAGTTAGCGTGGATCACTCTCCCTTGGGGAGTGCTTATTACAATTACTGGATGTGTATTTGTCTTCTGGACGCAAGCTTTAAGTTTTTCAAGCTCATATGGACAAGCCATCTTAATTAATGGTAATATGTGAATTTTGCTTTTGAGAAATCTAAATGTTTCACTTTTTAATGCTTTCCCATATATCCCTTGATATAAGATACTATGGAGCTAAACTACCCAGAATTTGATGTTAATCTGCAGCCTTTGCTTGTATTTTGGAGCTGTTGGCAGAACCATTGTATATACTTTCACAGAATTTGCTTCTTCTCAAACTCCGATTGGTGGTCGAAACTGCAGCAACTCTTTTGCGATGCATAACAGTTTATGTCTTTATTGTCATGCAACTTGACACGGTAAGGTCACAAGGAAGTTATGGTGAATATCCACCATAGTGGCTTACTGTTGAAGCTCTTCTATAATATTCTTGTGGTGGTCTGAAAAGTCTTGTTTGAGAATTATCAGCAACTTGTACAACGATCGGTTGTTGGATGTCAATACTTTCAGCTCAAGCTTAATGTTTTCTGTCACTAATTAGCATATCATATACTGAAAATAGATGAAAATGTTTCCCTCTGACCATGTATACATTTGACATCTTCTGCTCCATATGTCATTGTTTCTCACTTACCAAGATCATGGCATGCTTCACAAGGCACAAATAATGGATCTGGCCGCACAGACTCTAAATAAGAGGCATCCTAATGTTCATCCTTTGGTATTAATGCAAGCGATTTCTTATTGCCTTGCAGGAGAGAGCCATCGTATTTGCATTATCTCAAACTGCATATGGAGGTTGCATTTTCTTGTGTTATTGGGGTTATTTTCTACTTCTGCATGGATATAGAATTTCTGTTCTCTTTCCTTTCAGGTATCAATTCTCTTGAAACAAATGCACCATAGCTCTCGTGTTTCAAAGAAAAGAAACATGATTGATGATTGAAAATGAATGTGTCAAAGAACTGTAACAATGAAAAAGAGTTTGCATCTTAAGTTCTGTTTGTTATGTTGCTTTTGATACGAGAAATAATCATCATTTATTTTTGCTTCTATATTTTTTTGTCATGCAAATAACATAGTATATATTCAGGGTAGGTAGCTATGATAAGCAGCTCTCGAAAATGTCTACATTATTCACCCTTCAGTCGTTCCAAAAGTTGATTCTTCAAGAAGGAGAAAAGATGGTCCTTGTGTGGTTTGATACACCATATAACCAAGCTGTATATGGGCTCGTAGACAAATTAGGTATGCATAAGCTCAAATATTTTGTCTGGTCACTTTCAAGATATCATGGTTCTGAATGCAGCCTTTTTGTATTTTTTTCTTTATTCTTTTTTTAGAATTGAGAAAACAGAAGAATTATTCTTAAAACTACATTGTTCTCAGGTTAATTGATTTAGAAGGTTGTACTCATGCATATATACTCATGGGATCCTTCTTCCAGAATATTTCCTAAAAATCATTTTCCTCTTCCATGACCTTCTTAAAACAAAGTTACAGAACATTGTATCATTGATGTGAAATGGGGTCCGTAACTTGCTTATACGGATTTGAGGTCCAAAAAACCCCTAGGCCATAACCTAATGAAGGACATTTTCAAGGATTAACCAAACTAGCAGAAAAAATGAAAATTGATATCTAGATCAACCTGTTTCCTGTGGCATGCCTAATCAATAATCTTTTGTGTTTAGGTAGCTTGGTTGTGAGGTTGGTGTTGCTTCCTTTCGAAGAAAGTTCATATACAACATTTGCAAGGTCTGCATCAGGTTTAATTCTCTCCATTGACTTCCTTTTATGATGCAATGGGAGTCTTTTCCTTGTATATACATTTGCTTGCCATTTAATGCTGATCAGTTGTTGTATTAATTGTTTAGCTAATATCATGTTATCCACTAAATAGGAAATGTTGTGGTTCAAACCTTAACATGTGTTCATTGGTGAAACTCATTTATCATGGTCATTAAGTGGTCTGCTACTTCTTACTTGATAATACTTGTTTCATTTTCATTTCAATGTGCTAGGAGTATTGTATTTTCAAGATTTTAATGTGCTTTACTTGCACCAAATGGCTGTTTTGCCTTCATTCAGGGTACGACTTAAGTTTTATCTTAGACAAGAGTTAACATCTTTCACTTTTATAAATTCATTTGTTTCTCTTAGCTGTGTGTGACCCAATTCTGGCAACAGATTGCAAAGACAAATGATAGTGCAGACTATACATTCTAGCAAGTTTGAGTTGACAACTTGCCTGATTTAATATACTTTATCTTGCTCATGTGGTGTAGCCAAACCCCTAGCTACCTTGGTTACTGGAGTGCAAGTGAATTATCATATTTCAGAGTGTTTTCACTTGGTTAGCATGGTGATGAGACCAAATGAATAAAGCTGTAGAGTTGAAACTGTCCTTTCCTCGGTTGAATGCATTACGTACCAACACATGTATTTCGCATATATGCTTTTCTGGATCTTTTCTTCAAATCTTTAACAAGCCATATATAGAAACGACATACACGACCCCATTTACCTTTGGACCTGGAGTTAGAGTTCAAACCATTTTTGAGTTCTCAGTGGTTCCAGAATCATAATGTGCAATGTCTCTTTCTGCAGTAGAACAGATGACCTCCTAGTGGTGATTGTCTTGAAAACACCAATTTTTTACAATTCTTTGGATCAGTATGAATGGTTAAATTAACTCTAGTATACCATAACAAGCTTTTAAGTTTCTAATAGGTTGTAGATACGTCGTTGTTGTATCACCACACAGTTCCTTGGAAATTTCCTGTCAGTATCATTACACGAGACTGTTTTGGCTAATGCAAAGATGCTATGTCTGCTAGGAATCATATAATTTTTCTGGACTGATCCTCTACATTTTTTATTGGCAGGAGAAGGCATGCAGAAAAGCAGAAAATTACAGACTTCTCTAAGAGATGCTTTAAAGCTTGTTATGTTAATTGGTATGCCGCTCCAGTTAGTTTGTTGTTCTAGTACTATAGCTTATTTTTTAACTTTTTATTTTTTTAGTTTGGACACAAAAATTGATGTGTCAAATAACTTGATTATACTTTCTTATGCTCCTGAGATATGTAAGAGATAATCCTCAGTTACTTAATAATAGAAACTTCTGATTTTTCTGATGATAGTTTGGAAATGAAGATTCAGTCTTTGCTTATGATAGATTCTGGAAGTGGCAACATTCTGGATTTATCAAGTTTTAATCTTTGTAGCTTAAACTTTTTCAAAAATATGTTCCTTTAGGTATATGCACATAAAAAGATATGTTTTTGTCTACTGGAATCTTTTTCTGGAGGCAAATAAATACTCTGCCCATTGGTCTCACGTTCCTGTTACTTGTTTTCCAGGATTGGTGTTTATGGCATTTGGCCCCAGCTATTCTTACTCTCTCATCAGATTGTTATATGGTCGCAAATGGAGTGATGGAGAAGCCTCTGTGGCTCTTCGATATTACTGTTTGTATGTCGTTGTTCTGGCTGTGAATGGTAAGGAACATTTTCTCTTCTCTTTCTCTTTCTTTCTTTTTGGTTGAATTAAGCTTCTAACTGAATAGTCGTTTTCTTGAATAGATGGCCTTCCTTTTTGCATTCTTTCACAATGTATTGTAGTTTGCATCATTGCCATACTCTTTGATGTGGTAATATCGTTTGGTTGAAGGATAGTAATCTGTACATATAAGTCATGAAAGAACCTCCATCAAGTATCATCTACTTCTTTGTCAAGATCAAACCATGTACAAGAGTCTAGATAACTTCTACCATTTCAGATTGCGTGTTCCTTTTTCGAATATGCGATCCCCCTCCTTTGCGTCATTACTCCAGATAGAACTTTGATTCAGTTGTTATGTATGTAAGCCTGTTTCAAATACCTTGAACAAAGAAATTCATAGAATTTTTTGTTATTCTTGGCTGCTCCAGAGAGTGAGGGTGCAAGCCGCTTTGTCCTGAATATAACTTGATCATTCTTGATTCATAATTTAAAAACCTTACCAAGGGAACTTTCTGTATCAGAACATTGTTCTAAGAGAACTTTAAACATAATGACAGAAATCAAAACTGTCGTTATATTCATTGATTGCGATAGATCTTTCTACATGCCCCAATGCTACAGATTGTGATTTGTGTATGAACTTAGCTTTGTTCTTTCAATTGGTTTGTTTTCTCTTCTTATAGGAACATCTGAAGCCTTCTTGCATGCAGTCGCAACAGAGGATCAACTCAAGCGTTCAAACAATTCCTTGGTCTTGTTTTCATTTGTTTACATAGTGCTTAACATCCTGCTCATTCGGTCAGCTGGTGCAGTTGGATTGATTTTTGCAAATGCTCTGAGTATCCTTCATTCTGTGTTGCTTGAATTACGCTGTTGCATAACTAACTATAATTTTCTCAGCTGATTGTCATTGTGATTTGTTCCCTTAATTTTGTGTGTATTATTTTTCTACAGCCCACATGAATGCTCAGTTTTTATGAAATAATAGGATCTACCTAAGAAGTTGAAGAGGTTTAAAAGGTTTCTAGCCCTTCCATTTTGTGTACATATCAGGAGGAAGAATATAATTGTATATGTTTTCTCTACAAAATTGCATATTGTAGTATTCTTAATTGTATCATGTTGTTATTTAGGAGTCTTTGTAGTCATTGCGAAAAGTTATTTATTAAGTTGGTTACTCTTCAAGACATTAAATTTGTTCAATCTGGATTGCAATTGTCTTATGTTAATATGATTTGCTTTCATGGCAATTTTTTTAGATATAGGCTTCAGCTTTTCAATCTTTACCACTTATCTCTCCATTTATTGATTAGGATAATACCTATCCGATCAAATTTCTAGAGTAATAATACAGCATCACATAGCTATTTTTCATTTAAGTTGAAGTTAATATTATGGTTCCTTGACTACTAGTTAGATATGGTTTTTCGTATAATTTACTCTGCCATATTTATCAGAAACTACTTTCAGGTATACCATGAGAAGCTGCAAGCAATCCTTTTAATATTTCACTAAATCTATAATTTGGCCTGATGAGACATTATTTGCAGATTTTAACTTAGATGTATTACCTTGTAGCAGGATTCTTCTTCATTTTCCTTCCATAGCTGCTTACCTGCTGGTTGGACGATTTTGTTGTTTTCAAGTATAGCCACTCTTGTTTCTGAGAAATTGATTCTGGACCCTGATAACTTCTGGCCAACATTTTGCATTCACTTTTCCATTGGGTTGAGTTGCTTCTCCCTTGCATCTTTTGTAATGTAAGTTGTCTGGCTGCCATCTGGCATTATTTCTGTGCAACAGTTTTCAATGTTTAAGATATATTACTTTCTCTATGTGAAGCATAATAGCATAGATATGACAACAGTTTCCCTTGTATTAATTTCCACTTTTTCTGTGAACAGTTACCGCCAGGAGAGATCTTTCATCAACAAGGTTGTCCGTTTCCGTGAACATTCTGACTGAAACAAAGTGTTTGTGAAAGAAGGTGCGATAAAGTTTAAACTAAATGTCAATAAAGAGGTGTTCTTTATCAACTTGATTAATTTTCTTGGTTTACATGTTTAGGCAAACAAGAGCATGAAGAAAGGAGCTTGTAGGAAGGCTCACTGCATGCCATCTTTCATTTTAGGTATCTGAGAAGAACTAACATATTGTATTGCTAGTCAAATAGAGACATGCTTCAGGATACCCTTGAATGACTTACACACCATGGGTATAAAATTATATATGGTTTCAATTATTTGATAATTTTTACAACCAAATAGCCACAATACATTTTTATTAGCCAAATCATTTGTCGTTGTTTTGTAGTCACATTATTTCTTTGTTCTCATTTAAAAGTTGCCTGGTGCCTTTGGCGATTCTCAAGCTGGTCTCTTTCTACCAGAGGTTGCCATTAAAGCCTGCTTCAAGAACAAGGTTACCCAAAAGTAAGGAAGTTTATTTGCAAGTTTGTGTCATATTGACTGGAGATGTAAACTTAGCTGATGCAGGCGGATATTGCAGTATCTGCAACTGAATTCGAAATATCGCCAATATCTGCGATATAAGTATTGAATTCTTTTACATCCATGTACATATGCAGAAGATATAATCTGGATGTCCAAAATGAATCTAGAAAAACAAACAAATTTAGAAGTTCTTTTGTTACTAAAACGAACATGATATCTCAAAATATACCAAGTCCTTAGTTTGCACTTTACTGTTTTCGTCCTTTTTGCAATTTCCGACATGAAAACCAAGTAATATTGATATATATAATTCTTTAATCATATAATTTAGTAAATATAATTAAAATATCTGTTACCATCAATAAAATTATCAAATAGAAAACCCTTACGGTATGTTGACAAATGCCAAAAAGTCCCAATATAAATTTGGAAACCGGATGCTTAAGGGATTCGGATGTGACTATGTCTAGTGTCTACATTAATGGATGTGAATATGGATAATATCCATTCTGGTGCCATTTATTCTAGGAAAGTGTTTTGGGACCGAATGATCATAATTTAGTTGTTGCATCATCTGTCATATTTAAGGTTTTCAGCTCAGTTTATTCTGCTTCCTTTAGTTTAATTAAGAACTGAGTGTCTAAAGAAGTTATTTAAGGTTTTGACCTAATGTTGAAGCACTTCTCTTCGGTGGGGCAAATTTACTGTTTGTTTGTTTGTTTGTTTACTTTAATTTTCCCCTTTTCTTTTACTTTTAAATAAAATGGCCAGCTGGAATGAAGTTCTTTGCCATGTTAGTGCTATTATTTTTTACTTTCAAAATATGCAATGGAGTTGTGTCAAGACTTGAGGAAGTAGAGGCACTACCTGCACCCAGTTTTCCACCATTTTGCTGGACCAGTAACCCACCGAGTCTGCCCTCACTCAGTGTTGTCTTTTAGGGTTTATGTTTATTTCCCACGTCTTTTATGGCCTGTACTGGTTGCCCACATACCAACTCTACAAGCTTTTAGTTCCTATATTTGTCTCTTATCATTTATCATTCTCGTTATCGTCCGACAGGAAATGGTATAGTGTGATAGATTATTAAGACTTCAAAATAAGTGTTCATATTTCTATTTCTAGTTTGTCTCGGTATAAATGTCTACTAAGTGCATACTTTCCAATTCTGCCCTTAATCATGAGATAGAGAAATTCATTACTCTCTCTACTATCAAGGGTAAAATGAGTCATTTAGTTTTTAGTAAAAAGCATAATGGTTACATATTTCTAAAACTGCCTGCCCTTTTCATTTTGGAAGTATTCAATGTTTTAAAACCCATGTTACACATCATCCGTGTTGGTACAACCATGTCAAGAATCCTTGCATCGAGTAGTTCTTGCATCTATGCCAAATAGTAGTGACTGTTATTCAATTAGATATTGAGTACACATCGCATACACCATATTAGTATTACCTAAAATCACATATGTAGTGGCAATTGAATTGGTGCAAGCATATACTTGTATGGTACACAGGCAACTCACTGCACCAGGAAGCACTTTGTGGTTTAGACAAAAAAGTGGTACCTGAATGATATGTTACCACCTGCTGTAGATAGTTGTAACCTGTGCATATATCAATGTACTTTTGCACTATGTTTGAGGATGTAGGAGAGATGAAGTGATGGGGTGTTCTCCATTGCTCAACAACTCATGCAGTAGATAATTATAAGCAATTGAGATGTTTGAGGTGTGAAAAAGGAGACCCAATAAATCAAAAATGATGATTAGAATGTAGAAGAGGGCAGTCTCCCTTTTGAACTTTATTTCATTACAAACAAACAAGAGTGAAGAAAGTTTGAAAAAGGGTTCTAATCTTCTAAAACAACATCATCATTCTTTGATCTTTCCTTTAAATGTTGGATTCCTCTTATTATTTATTCTTGCTATTTTGTATTTATATATATATATATAACTTGATTCAAAATAGCAGGCATGGTTCTGATGGACTTAGATTTGACTGGTGTTGAAAACTATTGAGGGTTGGTTTCCTTTTTCCTAATGGTGTTGTGGGGGCTAAATGAATTCTTTTTAATTGATTGAATTTGTTATGTTATTATTGCCATTGTCATTATTACATATTATTATGTTTTGACATCGTGGTTATAAGTCATCATGTTGAGCTAACATACCGGTTTTATGGCATCCGATGGCGAGTTTAAGCATGGGTTAAAGCTAATATTGTCGAGTTAGTAGTATCTCATCTAGCTAGTATCATATGTGATGACGGGCTTCAACATAGGTTAAAGTTCATGGTAGATTGATAGTCGATTTTTATGTGTTCTTTAAATGCTATTACTATTCTCTCCGTCCTAAAATAAATGTCATTGATGAAAAAGATGCACAGTCTTAGAAATTTGTAATTATTACGCTTTTTAGTCAATTAAATGATAATTTTATCCTAATAATAGAGGAAGTGGCTGTTTACCGGGTCACTTGCCTAGTAAGAGGCATGACGATGACTAAGAATCTTACCCGGTAAATGTGGGTAGTGACTCTTATGTGGTTAGTGTTTACCTGATAAGATTATTGTAATATGTTTTATTTATGGCTAAGAATCTTTTCTGATAATGCAAGTGAGTATGATGACTCTTACCGGTAAACGTTTAGTAAACATGAATTTTGTTTATCTAAGGATAGAACATAAATTTACATTGAATACTCATTTTGGACAAAATTAGAATAGAAATGTAGTTATTTGTGTGTTATGTATGAGACTGAAAATAGATGCTAATAATACATCCTTTTCAACTAATTGTATGATAATAATAATCAAAGTGGTTGCAATCTCCAAGAAAAACTTTAGTTTGGCATTTCTATTTTGCAGGTCATGGATCAATCATTAGGATTAGGATTAGAATTAGGTTTAGGTTGTCAAAATTGACTTGTTCATCTCATTTTTTTTTTAAATAATCACCTCTTAATTTTCTTTTTCTATTTGATATGTAAGATTTGATTTTAATGTAAACAAATTTCTGTTAATTATGTTATTTTTCTGTGAGAGTGATATTGTAATAGATACTGATATATTTATTGATAAATAAATGAAATAAATATAAAAAAAGGAATGTTTTATTAATTATGTGAAGTGATAAAAGGAAAAGGTTTTCACCCATACTTTATTTTTAACATGCGAATGCCATCATGAAAAGTGGGTCCATAATCAAATCTTTTTGTCACATCTTTAAATTCCCTTTGGCCCTCCAAATATCCCTCATTCATATATTTATATATATATTCATATATTTATATATATATATTTATATATATATATATATATATATATTACATATATGGGCCTAATCAAATGAGAACTAATTAGTTTGTGGTAACCGTGAGGTCCAATCTCAATCATAAATCAATAGATAAATTAGAAAATTTATAATTTTGATAATTTTTAATTAAAATTTTAATGCAAAAACATTTTAGGTATTTTCTTTTCTCTCTCCTATCTTCTCTCTTCTCTCTTCGTCTCCTGGCTTCCGGCCACCGGTGATACCACAGTGGTATTACAATGCATCTTATATGTGATTGGGTATCACACTGTGGTCGTTTGTGCGGTCGATCAGATATGTAACACAGTGGTATCACAATGCATCTTATATGTGCTTGAGTATCACACTGTGGTATCACTGGAGGACGGTAGTCGGAAGACGGGGATGGAGAGAGGAGAGAGAAGAGAGAAGAGAGGAGAGAGAAGAGAAAATACCTAAAATGTCCTTGCATTAAAATTTTAATTGAAAATTACCAAAATTATAAATTTCCTAATTTATTTATTAATTTGTGGTTGAGATTGGATCTCACAGTTATCACAAACTAGTCAGTTCTCTCTTGAATGGACTCCTATATATATATATATATATATATATATATATATATGAGTTATTATACAACCTCTTACATTTGTACAATTAATACAATTCAATTTCAACCGTCCATTTAATTTGATGAATATATACTTTTATAGAAGTTTTGATTATTTTCTAATATAAAGTATTAAGTATAATTAATGAACAGTATTCATCTTCCATAAATATTTAAATCATAATAAATGAACTCTCATTATTTCCATAAATATTTTAATTAATTGGGTTGCATTGGTTGTACAAATGTGATAGGTTATATTTGAAACGTGCTATCTCTATATATAAAAACCAAAATCTATAAATTATTTATAGGTTTTCTCTTTGTTTAATTAATTATTTTTTTTATTAAAGAATTTGTGATCTTATGTTTAAAAAGGCAAATGAAATCATTTTTATTTTGAAATATTAACTTTAAATTTTTCTTAACATTTTATTTTTGTTTATAATATCGAGAATATGAATTTTTGTCATCAGGCCCCCTAATTGCAATTTTTGAAATTCCGTTTTCTAAAATAAAGATGTTTAAAATTGGTTTATTTTGATGCAAAATTTTACATAAAAATATAAATTATTCCATAGGAGAATCTAGGGGTAAACATAAAATCATCCAATTTAATTGCAAATGATTTACCATTTGGATATCCAATTAGTTAGAGTGGATAAAATCCAAAATTTTCGTATGCAAATTGAACTGATCGGTTCTTGAATAACAATATAGAATCCAGTGAACTGAACCTATCTGAACCGTTGATTGAGATGATCCAATGAACCACCTCTTTTAGAAGATAAAAACATTTTCTTCTACTTTTTAAATTTGAAAATCGTTGAATTATAACGAAATTTGGAGTGAAACAAATTATGTAAAAAACGATCACTTTATTATCTTTAGTTTGATATATTTTTACATTATTCTTCGATTTTCTTTTTTCTAGGGTTCTCTCTGGATTT